TCAAAACATTCTAATTCAATGTTAATGATGACAGGAATAAGAAATAGTTATGTGGAGGTTTTTAAGAAATTTGCGCAAAATACGCGCCAGCATGTTATACGAAATTAGGTAAAAAACCCAAAATCGCCATATTCAGGTGCCTTAAAAACCATGTTAAAATTGAGTTAGAGATCTGAAACTTTGCAGAGCGTCTAGACCTTGTCCAAATCGACTGTAAAAAAAATTTCATGTTGCAGGAGTATCGGGAAGTGGGTTTTCTGGAACCCCTGTTTTACAACAGATTGTCGTGAAGCTATATATGTATATATATATGTATATATGTATAGACGCTTTTGCAGTAAATTGTAGCCTACATTTAAGTGTCCGTAGATTCAAAAGTATAAAAGATACAGTCATTTCGAACCACAGGTTTTAAAGATAATTGTTTATACTTTAGTTTACATTATATCGAAAAATAATTTATCGTCATCATCATCACTTGATGACGTCATCAATTTAAGTGTTTTTAAAACTTGATTTTTGACAAAATAACAACTTTTCAAATCGATTTTAAAGCATTAAGGAGTAATTTTATTCAAAATCTGAGGACATTTTCATCTTAGATAATTGTTCAAGCATTCTGAAAATCTACCGGAAAGTTTTCCTACCTTGCTCCTTCATAAAGATATTCGCTATTGAAGTTTGTGCTTTTTTGAAGAATAATTTTATAAAAACACAAAAGTTGTGAATTAGTATTCTCTGGTGTTGGGCCATCCCTTGGGTTGTGGAGCTCAATTTTGCTTCCTAAAGGTCTAAATTGTGTTATAGGCTAGTTTTAAAGTTAAAAATCGAAAAGTTGCACACGTGGGAACACGCCCAAATTCATTTAAAATAGCTAAAATCACTAAAAATTGTTATTTCTACGATTTTTACCAACTTTGGAGTCCCGTTGTGATCCAAGTTCTTTTTGAAATCTTCTGAAACTTTTCATGCTTATCAAACTATATATTAAATAACACTATGCAAAAATTTATGGTGATTCAATATTTTATGCGCACGCAACGTCCGCTCAAAGTTTGAGGGTGCGAAAGGTGAGAATTTTGCTCATTCGTGATTTCGAATATATTCTGCTTTCCCACGATATTAAAATGGCATTATATATGAATTTAATGCCAACTTGAATGAGTAAAAAGTGCTATATTCAGTCTGTTATTGACAGATATGCCTACCTAAACACAAGGAAACGTTTTCAAAGGTAAAATCTCGAAATCGTTGAAATTACCTCCTTATTAAGTTTCGACTGTGTAAATTATCCTGACATTATAATCAAAAAGAGATGATATTTGACCAAAACCCATAATCATGGGTAGAGTGAACCGCTGCCAGTGTCTCTCTTTTCCAAACAAAAGAAAATGATATTAATTTGAGGAACCGTCCGCAAATGCAAATTGATACCGAGAATGAAATCGGTCGCTCGCTTTTCCCATTCATTCACGGCTTACGTATTGTAATAAAGCTTATTGAATGGGAAAAGCGAGCGACCGATTTCATTCTCGGTATCAATTTGCATTTGCGGACGGTTCCTCAAATTAATATCATTTTCTTTTGTTTGGAAAAGAGAGACACTGGCAGCGGTTCACTCTACCCATGATTATGGGTTTTGGTCAAATAAAGTATGCAAATCACTTGGACTACTTTTGAAAGAAAATAACAAGCTTAAAAACGCTACTGACAGTGACGTATTTCTCCTTGAAAAGCACAATAGCGCAAATACCTTTTGACTTTGTCAATGTCAAGGTGGGATGATGATTAATCACTCTACACTCGACTGTCACGTGACTTTTTCAACCCGTTCTCTAGCTGGTTCTAAACGACTTTTCGAAACCCTAACCGTCTAATCTGATCCCAACCCTAACCCTAACCCAATCCTTAACAAAAACATATGCTGAAACCCTAACCCTAACGAGAAATTAGACTAACTTCCTTATACGGTCATATCACGTGATCGAGACAGTTTTTCGCCAATATCTCGTCAGGGAAGCATTTTAACCCTATGTCATGGGGGGTGATTCGGAATCAGCGTCCGAAAATACATCGATTGAAGTTGATTACAACCGTCGGGGGCCCTTTTAGAACAATCTCGAAGATCGACTGTAGAGTGATTTAGCTCGCTCGGTCAAGGTGCCTCGAAATTGTAGCGCGATGCACTACTGGGTCGCGCGCGCATCAAATAATGCTTCTCGCAACCACACTTCTTCGGTAGATCGGCGAGATGCACCACTGTGCCTCACCGAGCTGCGAAGGATTGACATCGTGAATCAACCTCGAAAGTGATTTTAAACAATACCCCGTTTAATTTTGGTCGCAGAACGCTAACCTAATGCATAATATTAATAAAGCAAGTTATAGTATTAGTACGTAGGTAGTGCGCCATCGACAATCAGACAGTACAGAGCCGCGTGCAAGTTATAGTTATACTTATAGACATAAGTGACTGAGCTCGATCAGTGACTGAGCTAATAATAATAGTAATACGTATGGGTCAGGGTACTGACTTTCAACTTGTTTTCCATCCACTGCCTTAGGCTTAATTGATAAGTCTTACTTTAACAATTTACAATTTATGATCAGAGTTCATTCCAAATCTTACTCAATCACAAAACTTTCACGTAACTTTTTTAACCCGTTCTCTAGGTGGCCCTGAATGACCACTCAAAACCCTAACCCTGTAATCCGATTCCAACCCTAATATAATATAACCCTATAATTAATAATTATAAACCTTAACCCAATTCCTAACACTAACAGTAACAAAAGCAAATGCTGAAACCCTAACCCTAGTGAGAGAGCCGAGAGTTCAGGACCGGAAAGCTGCAGAAGAAAGCACACGAAAGCGGGGGGGGGGTCGGAAGTTGTGAAAGGGGGGGGGGGGGGGGGGATATTTCGATATAATTAAAAGGCTTATTTTGACGGGGAAATGTATAAAATATGAAAAAGTCGATTTTGAGGGTGAAAATCGCGTTTTTAATACCCCATCCAGCCCCCTTTAATTTTGTGTTGACAAAATTCTTTAGTTTCTTTTGGTATTTTAAAATTGAAATTTGACTTAGTTGGTGGCGATTTATGCTTTGTCAAAGTGGAAGCTTTTAAAAATGAAAGCGAAAGTCTTTAAACTGCGCGTTGGCCATGAGCTGGCATAACTTGAAATTAGACCAACTTCCTTATTGTATCACGTGGTGACCCCCACTTTCGCTTCACTATAGAAACACCCCTGTAGAGTTTCTACGATACAGGGGGCGCCGCGCACTCGTGCGCGGCGCGGCGGATCATACAACGTTGATACATGTTTCGTATCCCTTCGGCGGCGCGCGCTTCGCGCGCGAAAAGTGGCATGCAACGTATGTCAAATACAATGTATGACAACTTCTAGTAGAGGCTCTTACGGGCATTGTCTGCTCGATACGTTAGGGACCCCAGATATACCTTACTAGACGTATTTTTGACCGTAGAATCGATTGAAAGTGGTTTCAAGATGATTGGACTGATTGTTCTGGGGTAAAATCGCAAAAAAACCGATTTTTGGGCCAAAAATAGGCCAAAAAACCATGTTTTTTGATATTTTGAGCAAGTTAATTTTGTTGGCATGTCGGCAAAACTTGCATAAAGATAGCTAAAAGACAGCCGCACAAGATTGTATAAAAATAAAACAAATCCCTCTATTTGTTCTGAGGTAAAAATCCAAAAAAGTGGTAAAAATTTTGACTTTTTTGCTTTAAGTTTGAATAATTTTTTGCAGTTGTATTAAATCAACCCAAAAATAGTCACATCGTGTTTGCCTAAATTTTTCCTTTCCGAGAAGTACCCACTTCATATACTTAATCGAAGTTTGAATATTGTCACTCCGCAAGCGTTTTTGCCAAATTTTCGACGCGCACTACGCGCAAAAGCATTTAGTTGTTATCAATTGGCACCCGCGCGTTCATCATAAATTTCAAACAGCTATAACTCAGCGAGATTATGTCCGTTCTAGCTCATATTTTCACACTAAATAGAAAATAATGTGATCTTATTGCTGACAAAATATGGATATAATTACTTTATTTGCCTTAGAGTAATAGACTGTCAAAGTTTAAAACGCGCATTGGTATAGCACGTGACTAATAAGGCCAAATTTATACTTCTTAACATATTATCGATCCTTAGACATCATACTATTGTGTCCAATTAGCGGTTAGGTCTCTAAACTCGTAGCAGAAAACACGTCTTTTTGCCCGTAAGAGCCTCTACTATTCCTTACTATAATGTCATATTACGTGATTCGAGATCAGCGTTCGGAATTACATGATCGATTCAGGTTGATTTCAACTGTGAACTGTCAGGGGCCCTTTTAGAAAAATCTCGAAGATCGACTGTTATAAATTAAAGTGATTTAGCACACTCGATATGATTATATATTAATACGCATCACAACTATTTTACAATATAATCAATAATATGAATTAGTGACTTCGTTCACCGATACATAAGCAGTTTTAATTTCAACAAATTAATCTATATATATATAGGCCTGGCTAACTAATTTGGCTGACTTGTTACAAACCGATAGTTGACTTGGCCATTTGACTTAATTAATGTTATGTGAACAGTGAATAAACCTCCGACCAGAAGACACTTCAAGTTTTACTTGCAAGTTTACCGAAGTGCACCTTTTAGCAATTAAAATATTAATATAATATTAATACTCTATACAGCTAGCGCACTTGATCTGATAAATCGGTAAATATGCTACATCATACATTCAATATTTAATATTATTTGAGGACGCACCATTACTATAATCACGAGTGAGTGACAATCCCTTGACAATATTGATGTTATGTTACATGAGCTGAGTGAGTGACAATATTGATGTTATACAATTATAGCTAATATATGGTGATACATACAATTACACTTGTATCATGTATGTTTTACCAAAGTCATGTGGAGAACCTTAAAAAACTACAATTCAAACGATGGTCTTTGTTCAAGTTTTACAAAATCTATTAACATCATCAATCTAGACACGCATATCATATTATCAATTACAAAACAGTTGCATTCACTGAAAATACTCAAAAGTAGAAGAGAAGATTCAGCTAACAAGATGTAAAGAACGTCAGAAAAATCACTTTTATATGCATATTTCATTAATAGAATTAAATGATCAAACTTGTCCACTGACATTAATCGAAATTATATGAAGTGTTACCTACTATAAATCCCAAGTTTGATCTTGTCTAAAAGAGTGAGCGTAGTTAGTGACACTAAACGTCATCAAACGCTGATTGGCACGTGCAACACGCGCATTAATTAATGTGCACGTGCAACACGCGCATTAATTAACGTGATTTATAAAGTAAATTATTTGTGACAAGTCATTCAATGAAATGTACGTCCCCATGACACTGGTTAAATGTTAAATATATGTTTAAGCGGGTTTACAAATCTGGAATTTAACATTGTTAGAACACAAAATAAAGATCATCAGGATAAACAATCATGACTGATGACATATGATCTGAAATCCTTAGTAAGAATGTGTAATATGTATGGTAATTCAGTTTTACTTCCACTAAATCCAGAACACAAAGAAAACCAAATCAAGTCATCTGAAAACATTAGAATGTTTGTTATTTTTTCCCCTCAGTAAAATCGGTATATGAACCAACAAAAATGTGAGTAGTCATCATGCAAAAACCCGGTATCGATTACAAAATGGGAAGGCATAACACGCCGATCTAGTCCAGCTAGAAGTAGAGCAAAGAAACAGTTTACTTTTCGATATTCAAAAGTTTGTAGTTGGTTTTTAACTGTCTGCTACTTGCTGAGAATCGTAGCACCTCTTGCAGACACGTACCTGTAAATAGAGTCACACTTTTATTTATGTTAAAAGCGAGTGTATTTGGAGTTCTACCGGAGAGTAAATGAGGGACTCTTAGACTCAACAAAGACTTTTGAGCCCAAATTAAAAATCCTTTAAAACCAAATTAAGAACTTATCAGTAGTCCGTTTAAACCCCGCTGAAAACCTTACAGATGATCCAATTAAAACCCAATAAAAATATAAAGTTTAAAGAGGCAGTCACCTTGTGGGTGATATTACGTCGTGGGATGCTCTGGTAAAAGTCACTGCATGTGTTACAGTACACTTTACCACAATCTCTGCAGTGGTGTCTCCTCTCCACGAACGTGAACCTGACGCTACAGCTGGCACATTCCTGTGATCAATTAAATATTATTATAAACCATATAAAAGTTCAAAATATCTCAAAACAGCAATCCTAAGAAATTTATTGGCAGCTGTCTCAAAACATATAAAGATATAAAGGTCCTCAAAACTTCAAAAGATAAAACTAAATTAACTCAAAAAACTTTCATGTAACTCTAACAATTAATGAGATGTTTGATTAATTAGATAATAAGTTAATCAGATGATCAAATTAATTAAATTAATTAATAACCTTTTTCGTTCATTTGATGGTTAATCGATAAGTTTATTAAGTTGTACATCTTTGTTGGATATATTTTAAAGTTTTAATGTCGAAGCGTGTAATAGTTGTTAGAAATTAAATATTTATTTATTTTAAAGTGAGCTCACCTTCGTACCAGAGTCGAGGACCCAGTGGTCAGCTTGTTTACCAGTTGAATCGTTAGGTGACCAACAGAAAACCCTTCCTCTTGAGTCCCCAACGTACAAACTAACGTGATCTTCTGAGAACCTAACCAAAATTAGAATTAACATTTTGATTTAGTCCTGAGTCCTTAACTAACCAGTCCTCCAACTGACCCGTCCCCGTCCCCAACTAACCTGTCCCCCAACTAACTTGTCCCCCTGTCCCCCAACTAACTTGTCCCCCTGTCCCCCAACTAACTTGTCCCCAGTCCCCCTGTCCCTCAACTGACCCGTCCCCTTGTCCCCCAACTTGTCCCCAGTCCCCCGTCTAACTTGTCCCCCGTCCCCTACCAACCCGTCCCCCAACTAACTTGTCCCCTGTCCCCCAACTAACTTGTCCCCCAACTAACTTGTCCCCCGTCCCCTACCAACCCGTCCCCCAACTAACTTGTCCCCCGTCCCCTACCAACCCGTCCCCCAACTAACTTGTCCCCCGTCCCCTACCAACCCGTCCCCCAACTAACTTGTCCCCCGTCCCCTACCAACCCGTCCCCCAACTAACTTGTCCCCCGTCCCCTACCAGCCCGTCCCCCAACTAACTTGTCCCCCGTCCCAAACTACCTGACGCAAGTGATCTCAGCTGGTTGTCTGTTATCAGGTCTACCGAATGAAGTGTACATTGTGAGCCGAGCTCTGACAATCAGAGTTTTGTGCCACTTCTCACTGTCTACCCTGGTGTCTACCCTGGTGTCCACCCTGGTGTCCACCCTGGTGTTTGCACCGCCTCCCCGCTGGAACAAAACACCCCAGATACGGATTATACCGTCAGAGGAACCGGAAACTATCACGTTGTTATTGTCCCATTCGTTTATAGTCGTTTGTGTACACACCTGACGGGGATAGCTGGTTTATTATTACAACAAGTTTAACAAGAAACAAATCCTGCGGTATAATTGTTTGGTACTGATGAGCTTTATTTGAGGGTGTGTTTAAAAATCCAGCAAGGATCTAGAGATCCTAATGGTATCATTTTACTCAAAACTAAACCGGACTGACCTGAATAACCGTACTGGTGGGTAAGGACGTATGAGCAATTAGTTCTCCGTTAATGGACCACAGATATAGACAGTTCTTAGCCGCGGTCATTATATCTCCGGACGCCTCGTTCATGTGCACTGTTGTTATTGGGTTGGGGTGCACGGGGAGTTGCCTGATTCAGAAATATTTTCAGTTAATTACAAGGAATTAGTGTAATAATAATTTAGGAATATTTAGGTCCTAAGTACTTATATTAAGTAGATGGCCCCTTGAGCGTTCATTTTAATATCCGTTCACGCTAAGTCCGTCAAATGTCCGATAAGGTGGAAATATTTCAGAAGGATACTAAATTGCTTATCAAGTGCAGCATTCTTATTTCAATATCTTAACCACTATAAAGCCAATAACAAATAATCCCACCACGTGACCAATGATAACTCTACCACGTGACCAATGATAACGGTACACGTGACCAATGATAACTCTACACGTGACCAATGATAACTCTACCTGACAAAAGAAAGCTTGTTAAGATCCCAGATGATAACGGTGCGGTCATGTGACCCGGACACGAACACCCTGGAATACAAAGAATATATTATATTGTAAGGAATACAAATTTAAAATCTTAAGCTTATACAACAGTAACTGTTATGATAATAACAATATCATAAGATTTAGATTTATAATATTAATATAATTTAATAAAACGAAAAAGACAGATTTTGAAAATAAATATTTTGTTTACCTGTGATTATGTGAGGAGCTCATGCAGGACACCAGATGAGTGTGCCCCAGTAACTTGCGCTGGAGCGATAAACCCGGCTCTTTAGTCCGGGAGAGGGTGTGGGAGTAGACACTGATGTAGCTGTCTTCACCGCCCACCAGCAAGGTTTCCGAGTCAGGACAGATCGCGCACACTACTCGCTGCTTTTCTAGTTCCTCGTACACGTGCACTAGTTTACCTAGTGCGCAGGGTGGTTAGAATATAACACGTGCACTAGTTTACTTGCTCAGGGTGGTAACGCATTAAGTTGTGTTCCTTGAGTTGTTAAAATACATGACTTAACCTTTATAATAAGCATTTTAAACTAGGTTAGTAGTTCTTTGTCAAGAAGGTTGATATTAAAAATTCAAGCTGAGAAAGTTGGTTGAAAGTAAAAATGTGACTTGCTAACCGTCGACAGCCCCAAGTAAAAGTGAGTTATCAGGTAGACCCCAGGTAAAGTAGTAGTTGTAGCCAGTAGAGGAGGGGACCAGAACCTTGTTCTTGCCAGCGAACAGAGTCCCCCCGTTCTCTGTACTCTCTATCTGCTGTACAGCGGAGGATATGATCCGTTCTTCTCGGGCAGGTGGCCTCAAGTTTACCACGTTGTAATGGAAGGTCCTGCTAACCAGGTCCGAGTAGGCTACTTGCCGGGCAGGGTGGGGTCTTGTGAAGATCTGCTTGGGGGCTTGTCCAAAGTTGTTGATGAAGCCTTTGACGGCTGATTTGCGGAGAGGGTCCGTAAGGAGGGAGATATCGATGTTTCCTTCGTAAAAGTAACAATGGAATGTGTTATGAGCAAGTCTGGCTTGTTCACCTCGCTGTTTGTACCCAAATATCAGGTCTATCCAAAGGTGGAGGTTCCTGCTGACATAGTCGCTTTCTAACGCTTCCCTGTGCAGTCTGATGAACTCTGCAGGGTCTCCTTTAGCCCACTTTGGCAGTAGCACGTCATCTATCTTCTTACCGTTCTGCTTCCTCCCAAAATCAAACTTGTCCTTGTTAAGCAGGAAGTCGGGCAGGTAGAAGAACTCTGGGATAAGCTCTCTGACATCACACATGTTAATCTTACTGGCACTGTTCCAGGCGTCTGCTATGGAGTGGAAGAGTCTGTCTGCCAGGTCGAAGTGTCCTCCTTGGAGATTAATGAATGAAGAAGTAAAGGGTTCCAGTCTGATGAGATAGCTGGCGGTTATCATTGCAGAGGAGTAGAAGGTACCGTAGTGGCAAGGGTTGGTGTCCGTACCATGCGGATCTATCCAGTCAGCGTACCGCTTCTCAAACTGAGATAATCTGTCAGGGGTTTGTGCTCCCATAGGTTTACTAAGATCTCTGAAGGAGGCTGGGTTGGAAAGATCTAGCTCGGCACTGGTGTAGTCAGCAAGGACCCAGGGGAATATCGGGTACTGCATAAAATCCTTGTAGCTCCTGCCCGCTAAAGTATTGATGTACATGAGGTACTGGAAGTTTGAGATCTCCCCAACCGACCACCTGTGTGTCACATTGCTCTGACGAAAGGAGGTAAAGACGGAGGTGGCGTCGCCGCGAGTGTGGCGCCGCGCACTGCTCAGAACGTCCGACGCAAAGTCCGACTTCTGGGTAAGGCTTGGAGTCAAGTATCTTAGTTTGTGATAGGCTTTGTTCCGGTGATTGGATCCAAACACAAGGAAATAACTTTCTCCGCCGTAACAAAATACTTCCATCCCGTTCTCTTGCAGAGAGTACCTTCGCTTCATTATTTCAGTTATTCTTTTGTAACCCAGGTTATACGCCCCCTTGTTTTTCTTCACTACACTAGCACTGTCTACCAAAATGTCTTTAAATCTCTCAGACCATTCCTCTGGCATCAACATTTGAACATCCATGATATCTCCCTCCTTAGTTGTCGTATATCCATCAATGATATAAGCACTCTTCCTTCCCAGATAGAGAATAGAGGCGGTCGTTGAAAGTCCCTCCACTCGAATGCAGGGGAATACCAATACTTTACTCTCTCCTTCCAACAAGAAATCTTGCATCAACCGGTTATCAGCATCTAGAGTCCTGGCGGAAATGAGTTGAGACATTTTGTTGGCTCCACTGATAGTGGTGAGGGAACTGACCCGGTCTCTGACTCCGTAGTAGTGATGGTACTCCTTGCTGAAGGAGCTGCTGGGCTGTTTCAATTTGGAAACTTTGTATTCTTCTGGAGACTTAGGTTGGAACACGTTGTAGAACTGTGAGTTCTGTTTGAGTCGCTTTCTGGTCCTATGAGGACCCTCTATAGGGTCTAATTCCCAGCGGTCTAAGTGAGAGGGATCAGCAGGACCCCACAACCCCCGCTCCTGAGTCAGCTCTAACTGCATCTCTCCCCACACTCTGTTCACTCTGTGGAATTGCAGCTGGGTCCTGTGTACCGACTCTCTCAGACTATCTGAGACCTGCACCATGACATGAGTGTTGTGAGCGTAGTTTATCTCGTAGGGCGTATTCAGGGCTGTTACCACGGACAAAGTCAGCTGTGTTTCCTGTCTCCGGGCGGTTAGGAGTCCGGTGAAGCGTCGTGAGCTTCTCTGCTGGTGCAGGGTCCGGTCACCCTCCTCCTGCTGCTGCTTTATCTGGGAGAACAGTTTGGGAGCTATCTCGTGTTGCAGCACAAAGGAGCTGTCCTCGCTTCCAGAGAACAGAGAGCTGATACCGGTCTTGTTCGCTTTACTGACGGACATTAGGGGTATCTGAGATGTAGGGTCGATGTAGAGAGCCAGGTCAGGTCGTACCTCCTTGATACAGGAGATGAGCGAGTTAGAGGCTTCCTCCAACATCTTACCCCAGTCACCATCACACTGGAGAGATCTTAGCAGGTGCGACAAACAAATCACAAACTCGTGGTCCGACATACCCGGCCCAAATATGAGCCGGTGGTTCTCTGACACAAAGTGGACGACTTTTAGGAGAGATTTCTGTTGGTCCAGAGAGGAGGAAGTCTGGGAGAGGAAGTAGAGGATTGCTCGGTGGAGACAGTAGGTGATTTGGGATTCTGCGTCTTTGCTGATCCACTCACGTAGTTTGGAGAAACAGTTTAGTATTGAGATTGAGGTACCCAGTTTGCCTTGCCAGAGTTTTTGGAGGGTGTATTTACAGAAGAAGATAGCTGCTCTGTTGAAGTTCTTGGTGGAGATCCCGTCGGGAGCACCAGTTTGTATTCTTTGAAGAGTTTGGTGAACCAAGACAGATTGGTATATCTTTAGGCAGTCCCCAAAGTCAACTGCACAGGGCTGAAAGAGAAGTAGGCGTTGATTTGGGAATCAAGATTGAGAAACGATCGTCTTTTAGTTAGCCTTGGTCAAAGTTAATATTTTGATAAAATATTTTGATTTTGGTGAAAAATTCTCGTGAACTTAATTATAAAATTGATGGTACTGATTTTTTAATAGTTTTCAAAGACTCAAAAATAGTCCAGTTCATATAAAGGGTCATGAAAAAACAAAACATCTTGTTAAATTTTTAAAACTGTACTGAAAATATTCAGAAAGATATCAGCAACTTTCAATTTCACTTTCATTACCTCGAGGATGATGTCGAGGATATCAAAGTTTTGCTTGAACATGGCGTTTAACAGTATCTCCTGTATCAAGTCCAGAACACACTGCCTCTTTATTATCAGATCTTTGGTTGGCTCCAAATACTGAAAATTAACAATTAATTAAATCACTAACTAATCACTCGTTAAATTGTACTTTATTGAATTTTATAACCAACAAAATATGATGATTTCGGCTTTTTTAAATCGATAATTTACATCACGACTGGACCATACTAGGTATACACGTAAGAGTTAAATAACTTAATCGGTAATTAATAAAGTAATTGATCGTTAATTAATTAACTAATTGATCGTTAATTAATTAACTAATTGATCGTTAATTAATAAAATAATTGAACGTTAATTTATTAACTAATTGATCGTTAATTAATTAACTAATTGATTGTTAAAATATACAGACCGGTGCCCACAAGAGTGCGATGATAAGGTCTATTAGGGCGATATAAACAGGTTCAGTTAGAGGCTCATTTAGATAAAGATTAGTCAGATATCGTACTACTGCTTCAAATCCGCCCTGAGGGTTTTATTGTTATTAGAGAGTATTTCGTGCTGATTAGAGGAGTGTTATTTTGATCCTTATTTTTAATTTTATCCGACACTAGTGTAATTATTTCACCATTTAGTTTCTGTTTGAAACTAAATGCCTAAAAAGCTATCCTTAAATACTAATTATTCTAAAATCTAACACACAAAAATAATGAAATAATTGTTCTATAAACTTGTTTGTAAATGAAAATATAAAAGTAACGCGGAGTTTCTTTTTGTAAGTCTTTAAGTTTATTTGAGTGTCACGTATAAACATAAAAACCGGCACTAACATCGTCAATATCGTCCCTGAGAAGCGATAAGACTACCACTAACGGGTCTTTGTTTAGTACTCCTCCTGAAACTGGTAACAGTGGTTAAAACTGAAATGTAAAACAGCACTTAAAAAACTGAAAGAGAAAACTTTAAAAACTCAAATATGCTGCAAATAAGCCGTCTATTATAGGCCCTATTAACTTATTAAGGAGAAACATAATCTTCCAATTGAGGCACTGTCTCGATATTCGGTCTATAAAGATGCAATATCTTCTCTATCAAAAATTGAATTTAGAAAAGATTCGCCATAATCATATTATCAGGTTGTTAAAACAAATTTTAATTTCAAAGACAATTTGATAAGACATAATTCAAATTAACTTTGTTCGGAGAAGGTTTTATAATTAAAAAACGCTAACTTTGTAAGATTTTGTCATTAAAAACATTTATTTTGTAAGATTTTATAATAAACAACGCTAACTTTGTTTAGAGAAAGTTTTGTCGAGGTTATACTCGTTGGAGAGGGAGGACGGAGGATGGTCCATATTGAGCATTAAGGAGAGAAGCCACGTGTACAGCTTCATGGAGTACGTGGAGAACTGAGAAATTAGATAGAATAAACCAATCAAATTAATTAATTAAATATAACACTAGATAAACCAGAAAATTTGCAAAAAAAGACAAAAAGCTTGTAAAAAGGTCCTGAAATAACAATAAACCTCAGACAGGCGGGTGTGTCCCTTCAAGACATGGAGGAGAAGAGGAAACCCCTGTAGAGAACCCTGATCAGCACTATCTGGACGGAGACTCCTGGCTGTAATACAGTGCATCCACCCTCCGTGATTCAGCTTCTGACTGAACCTGGGGAGAGATGGTCACGTGTGTGGAGATGGTCACGTGTGAGGAGATGGTCACGTGTGTGGAGATGGTCACGCGTGTGGAGATGGTCACGTGTGAGGAGATGGTCACGTGTGTGGAGATGGTCACGTGTGTGGATATGGTCACGTGTGTGGAGATGGTCACGTGTGTGGATATGGTCACGTGTGTGGAGATGGTCACGTGTGTGGAAATGGTCACGTGTGTGGAGATGGTCACGTGTGAGGAGATGGTCACGTGTGTGGAGATGGTCACGCGTGTGGAGATGGTCACGTGTGTGGAAATGGTCACTTGTGTGGAGATGGTCGTTGGAATCCAGTACAGTAGTAGGCTGTATATAAACACGTTTCTAGACTATAAACTAGTCTATAATCTAGACTAGTGAATTGTGTATGTACCTGAAGAATCCGTTAGCTGGAGAGAGCAGGATGCAGGTCAGTCTGAGTGACATTGTAAAGGTTATATGGTGCAGACCCGGTCTTAAGAAGAGTAGCAACCAGTCAAATCCTAGCGTAGACTCGATCTGCAGACGTAATCTGGGAGTAAACGTGGATATTAGGTCAGGTATTTAGTATTTTTTGTTAATTAATTGGTAAACTCAGGCAGTAATAGCTTGTTAGAAAGTGTGCATTTGTGATTTGTTTTTAACATGCTCTGCAAACAACACAAAGTAGTTAATAAAGTGAAAGTGAAAGTAGTCAGAATATTGGCTACCCTACCTGAAATCATTGTCCATATCACAACTCTGTACAAGAACACACAGTAGTTAATAAAGTGAAAGTGAAAGTAGTCAGAATATTGGCTACCCTACCTGAAATCATTGTCCATATCACAACTCTGTACAAGAACACACAGTAGTTAATAAAGTAAAAGTGAAAGTAGTCAGAATATTGGCTACCCTACCTGAAATCATTGTCCATATCACAACTCTGTACAAGAACACACAGTAGTTCCAGCAGCATGTTCCTTATTTTAACCACATGTGTAACTTCCTTGAGTCTGTGTTCGTTAACCAGACTGGTGGGGAGGGAGAACACTAAGTAGTTACCAAACGTCAGCAGTACCTGGTAGTGAGTTGTGAGGTGGTTAGTGAGATGGTAGTGAGACGATCAACTGTTAAAGTGAAATATTATTCGGTAGTTACCAAAATTCATTACTCACAATTTAGGGAAAAGAATACTGCAAACCAGTTCAGATTACGAACCTTAGGACTAGCAGTACTGATGACAGAGGATATGACCTCTAGAGCAGCCTGTACCAGAGACCAGGACACCGAACAGTCGTACACTAGCTCCAGTAACCGACCTGTCACATCCATTGTCTCTATCTGCTCCAGATTACGTCCACTGGAATAGTGAGAGTGTTAAAGTGAAAGTGAAAGTTAAAGTGAAAGTGAAAGTGAAAGTGAAACTAACTTGATAACTAAGTTGTAGATACAAGTACAAGTGAAAGTGAAAGTGAAACTAACTTTATAACTAAGTTGTAGATACAAGTACAAGTGAAAGTGAAACTAACTTGATAACTCAGTTGTAGATACAAGTAGAAGTGAAAGTGAAACTAACTTTATAACTAAGTTGTAGATACAAGTACACAGCTGCGTCTGGATCTCCTCCGCAGCACCTCTCCATATCTCAAAGGAGCACAGTAGTACTTTAACTGCAGTAGGATGGGTAATGAGACCACTGCAAGAGCCGAGGGATGCCTGAAATGGAGGTCAAGTGAAATGAGGTTAAGTGAAATGAGGTAGAGTGAACGGAGGTTAAGTGAAATGAGGGTTAAAGGGATCGTAAGAGACCAGTGTGAATTTATAATAAACTTTTGAATTTTCGCACAACAAATTCATCTTTTAAGCGTCCTTTTTTTTGACTCCCCAAGAAAATTTATAACCAGGTTTCTTAGAACATGAATCAATCAAAAACGTATTTTACAAATACATATTATTATTGTTTATTTTTATTATTCGTATTATGTAAAACGAAATTCTAACGGAAATACCTGCAAACTTCCTTTTCAAATCAATTTATGATACCTCAGAACAAAACAAAACCTCAAACTCCTCCTACCCATAAATATACTCCCTAGCAATAGTCGCCGTGAAAAATTATAGTGCATCAGTGCCTGCATCATTAAATTTGCATATCTTTTTACAAAAATAAAAAATACAATTTCTTGTGAACTATTGATAGAAATAAGATCGATAAGATGAGATAAAAGAATTTTATTTATTTAAAAAATATACAATATAACACTGATTACATAATACATACGACTAGTTGTAGAACGTGTGTCGTGGTGATGTTAGCTTTACGGTGCAACAACAACGCTAGTATCTCGTACCCTCTCCTTTCCATGTCCTGACAAGTTATTAAGTTATTAAGTTATTAAGTTATTAAGTTATTAGGTGATTAAGTTATTAAGTTATTAAGTTATTAAGTTATTAAGTTATTAAGTTATTAAGTTATTAAGTTATTAAGTTATTAATCACAATCATTAACAACTCTCAAGTTCAGTTAGTTTTACTAAGTTATCAGGGTAGTCTAAAAATAACAGACCTTATTTTCTCCCCGATTAGGGGGGGATCATGTTATTTTTTGTCCGTTGTTGTCCGTTTTTGTCCGTTAATTTTTGTCCGTTTTGAAAATATAGCTGCCAAACGGACAAAAACGGACAAAAACGGACAAAAATTGTAACTTTTGATTTAAATTTTCCCGATTACCAGTTATAAGTTAAGTATAAAGTATAAAGATATAATGTAAATCGCACATGATATCGTGTTATTCGCTCCTTCCCACACCTAACCAAACATAAGTTATATTATAATTAGATAATATAAACCTGCTGCAGACGAGCATTGCTGTTCACAACCAATGTGAGAAGTTTAATAGCCGCGTATAGTCCTTCAGAGTCCGTTGTCATGGCAACAAGTCCTAGTAACACCTGCTCGCTTCCAATTGCTTCAAATGTGTCACCTGGTTATTATAGTGTTGTAATTGTTATTTTAGTGTTGTTATTGTTATTTTAGTGTTGTTATTGTCATTTTAGTGTTGTTATTGTCATTTTAGTGTTGTTATTGTTATTTTAGTGTTGTTATTGTTATTATAGTGTTGTTATTGTCATTTTAGTGTTGTTATTGTTATTTTAGTGTTGTTTTTTGTTATTTTAGTGTTGTTATCGTTATTTTAGTGTTGTTATTGTTATTATAGTGTTGCTATTGTCATTTTAGTGTTGTTGTTGTTATTTTAGTGTTGTTATTGTCATTTTAGTGTTGTTATTGTTATTTTAGTGTTGTTATTGTTATTTTAGTGTTGTTATTGGAAATAAAGAAATAAAGCAGCTGTCCGGGCAACTCTGATGACCTGGTAGAGGATCTATGAAGCTCACCTAAGTAACCTAAGCAAGTAAGCTACCTATAAGTTAGAGGTGATAGTTACCTATACTAGAAGGTGATATAATATGGCAGTTGTACAGAGCCACCGCGCAGGAAGCCACCTCGTGTGTCACCAGGTGAGCTGAGAGGTTAGGAAACACCTTGAAGGGGATACTGTCTGCTTGTTCCACTTCCATACCCTCCTGAAAATATAACTTAGATTTTAATTAATTACATTAATTAAAAAAGTATTTATTCAGTTAATATGTGTAGTGGGATGGTAATATCTTAATTTGGTTTAGTCAGTCGAAACTCTGACTGTTTAGCATTTAAACTATTAAAAAGGTTCTTTAAAAGGTTGCAATTAATATATTATGGAGCACAAATAAATACGCGTACAACTTTTGATTTCTTACATTTTCTTAAGGTTGGGATTAGTTTCCTCAAGGGTGTATTTTATTTAAACAGTGTATTATGAAGTTATCTGTATTTAACCCAATATACTCAATAACGAACACTCAACTTACTACAAATTCAGCTTTATTTAGAGTACAAATTTCGGTTCTTTTACGATAGTCAAAACGTGACAACTAGCGCTGGATAACGCTATCCAGCGCAAAATATAAATTTCCGATAATTGTCGCCATCCAGCGCTAGTTGTCGCCATCCAGCGCTAGTTGTCACCATCCAGCGCTAGTTATCGAACTGTTGCCAGCGCAATATAGTTGCGATATTACTCGTCAGCTAGCGCTAGCCAGCACTAGTCAGCGCTAGCCAGCGCTATCCAGTGCTAGCCAGCGCTATCCAGCGCTAGCCAGCGCAAAATATAAAAATCAAATATTTGCGATATTACTCGTCAGCCAGTGCTGGCCAGCGTCAGCCATTTACAATTGTTCTAGATTAGAAAGAACTACCCGAACGCAGCTGTACTCGGCAATAAAGATTAAACAAACTTTAGCTAATTCACTAACTAACACCCTTAGGCCTTATCTCGAAATACTAGGTATCGACCCGAACGCAACCCAAAGAGATTTTTACATCATGTGATTAATGTAATAATCGAAACTTATTACAATTCGTAAGCCGTGAATGAATGGGAAAAGCGAGCGACCGATTTCATTCTCGGTATCATTTTGCATTTGCGGACGGTCATTCAAATTAATATCATTTCCTTTTGTTTGGGAAAGAGAGACACTGGCAGCGGTCCACTCTACCCATGATTATGGGTATTGGTAAAATGAAAATAAAAATATCTTCTTTCTCGTTATTCTCCACGGTAATCGTACTGTAGTGCGACAATCGACATGTACTCTAGTGCGACATGCACTCTATTGCAAAGTCCGACAAAACCACCCTCTGTCGCACTACAGTACGTGTCGCACTACGATCCAGGTAGCGTACTCTAGTGCGACAAAATATCCTGACTTATTTCCAAGTTCAGGTCACATCCTATCCTTTTTATGGATTTGTCGGGTCGGTTCACGTCACTTATTTTGAAGTGATCTTGCGAATACGATTCGTCCGTTCACATCACGTGTTTCGAAGTGATCCACTGATCACAATTCCTTCGGGTCAGTTCAAACCACGTATGCAGTGTGTGATCCACCGGGTAACTCGTAAGCAGCATATGATCCTCTTTCCTATTACACGCATCGTATATCTCCGATTGGGATAACAAGTACATAATATGCTTGGGCCATATATAAGGTCACGATGATTCTACCAAAGCATCGAGCAACATCAACATGTCTTCTTCAATCATCTTCATTTCTGGACGCACTACTGGTTCAAGAAACGTTATCCACGACGGATACCGCTACTGCCTGGATAAGAAGCGCGACGACAAGACCTACTGGCGATGCACTGAATTCGCCTTGCATTCGGCTTACTCCCCGGAAAGACACAGGCTCATTATGAAGCCGTCTTGGATGAGCTCCTTGCATTTGGAGTCGACCCTCAATCTGTCATGAGTGACACTACAGTCCAAGTAGCGCAATGTAGTGCGACAGTGTCGGCCTTGAAAATTCTCTGTCGCACTAGGGTACGTGTCGCACTACGATCCAGGTAGCGTACTCTAGTGCGACAGTGTCGATCTTGGAGGTTTCGCACTAGGGTACGTGTCGCACTACAGTACGTGAACCTTTTCCACTTCCTCTTCGCGTTCCAGGACCCCACGAAGAGCCTTGACAGCAAAACTGAAAGTGAACTCACAAAACTCCCCCAACCGCCCCGCAGTAGAAATATTAAGCTTTATATATATACTTTGATACAGCTCGATTATCTTTAGTCTACGTGTGCTATAAAAATTAAGCTGTGTAACTTTAATAAGGTAAGATGTGACTTCCGCAGCTCAGAACAAGCTTGCATCAATACAACATCGAAACAGGAAGACACAGCATGTATCGCCATAAACTTTCGAATAGGGCATGCAACACATTCTACTACAAATGTGGACGGTGGAGTCACTCGACCTTCTTCTAGAGCTTCCTTTCCCTAATCCAATCATAGAAGATGAGCTTAATGTATTGCGCACTTGCCCTTTCTATGATGATTTCCGTCAAGCTGCATTTGTCCGGCTACCGGACAACTGAACCCAATTTGGACTTTTCCTAGACAGGGTAGCTTGGGAAAATAATTATAAACCCAATCAGACTACCTAATTAACTTTGAAACGACAACTAAACCCAATCGTCACTAGAAATCTGTTGGTGCTTCGGAGTGGTCTCCGGACTTATCTGCTCGTGATCGTTGGACAATTCTCGCGAGGGATTCTAGTTTAGGTAGTACCACGTTGATTTCGGATGGGGATGTAGACAAGGCTTCGGTGAGGAGGTGTTGTGTTGCTGAGAGGTGTTGGTCGGCAGCTTTCCGCTTCAATTCTGCTATGAACTCTGCTTTTTCAGCTACTAAGTTGTCGGGGTCGTGGGAATGAGGTTTGGCACCGCTGGCCAAGGACTGATCTCCATGGTCAAGGAATACATAAGCAGGACATTTCTTGATTCTGTACTTCTGGCAACTCCAAGTAGAGGTAGTAGGGGTATCTCGATCCTTTCTACGGTTGTAGAAGAAACCGTCTGCGTCCAGAAGTAGTTGAGCTCCTCTTTGTCCGCTGATGTACTTGCTGAAGACAACCATGATTCGATACTGTGACCACCATCTCTCTTGAGCCAAGTATCCAGCGTGCTAATGGTGCGTTCCATCAGCTTTGGAAGACATGAAACAGTGGAACTATAAGAACGCCCATCAATATCCGTATCTACAAGGCTAACTTTCAAAGCTAGACGGACACGTTGTCAGAATGCTAGAGACACAGTTTCCTAATGTTTTACTGGATTAGAAACCAAACTATGGGAAGAGACTGAGAGGACAACTCCTTAAAGGCATGTATGTATTAATATTTTACCGGGGTAAGCACAGAGCTCCAATGCTCTAAATTACAGTGGTCATGATCTATCCTATAGTGATAATGACCACAGTCCCCTGCGAAGAAGGAGAACCTGAAAATCCGATCGTTGGGTTCAGTTGTCGTATTTCCTTTGGTTCAGTTGTCGTATTTCCAATTTGGGTGCAGTTGTGATATGACCTGGGTTCAGTTGTCGTTTTGGGATTTAAGCTGATTGGTCACCCAATTAAGCTGATTGGATGCCTGTTAACTGCGTGGGAACTAGGTTCAATTGGGTTCAGTTGTCCCAACAATTGGACAGATCTTCGCATACCCTACAGCCATAGAGCATCCTTTAAACAAATTCCTATCAATAACAATATTGCCTAATAAAATAATTAAAAAAGTTCATTTGAATTATTAGAAAAATAAATCTCATTCTGAAGATTTGCGGGGATTATTTCTTTGTTTACCTTAATCGGTAATATTATGGGGGGAAAATTATGGGTGTTAAAAATATTTACTGTAGACTGTTATAAATATGGTTCTTTGACCCGAAAAGAACTAAATTTGACCCCCAACAATTTTAACTGCGAATTTTACTCGGGGGGTTAAATTATGGGGGGTAAAAAATAAGAGAATGAGAATAAAATTGCAACCACTATAATAATTTAGTCGGTAATCATATTTATAAAAAACTGTTATAAATATGGTTCTTTGGCCCATGTTAATCCTGAATTTATCTAAAGAGGCCCCCGATAGTTGAAACTAACTTATAAATCAATGCATTTTCGAACGCTGATTCCGAATCACCCTCATGACATAAGGTTAAAATGCTCCCCTGGCAAGATATTGGCGAAAAACTGTCTCGATCACGTGATATGACCGTATTATTATTATATAAGGAAGTTGATCTAATTTCTCGTTAGGGTTAGGGTCAGCGGAATTGAATAAGCGTCCGAAAATACATCGATAGATAGATAGATAGCTTTGAACACATTATGACTTTTGAATTTGATTGGCTTTCCAGAACAATCAAATTCAATTTCTTCCAATTACTTCTTATCAAAATGTTTCGTCAAAATGATTTCGATCGTCAACTAATTTCTGTATCTATAATTCAGCAGCATCTATTATGTCACGTTTATCTCACGGACAGGTTGGGCATGATCGTTCTTATTCCTTTTAGGGAATTTAACACCTTTTGTTCAAAATAACCTATATAATAGTACATACCTAACCCTAACCCTTAACAAAGCCAACATTTTTTAGTTTTAATCGTCAAGTTGCCAAGCAAATATATTTCTTCAATTCTCAATTCTACTCAACCTTTTTATTGTCTTTACAGTCTGACCACTGAGTAGGGATCTCGATGATACTATTTACTCATTTTATACTACCCCACTTACAGTTTACACTTTAGAATAGCAGTTTTTAAATATAATCAAATATATAATTAAATATAGTATGTACGGGCGACGGAAATCAGGGTCACGTGACTCCATACTGGACTCTAGGCAGTTACTCAGCTCTAGACGGTGATTATCACTATTCCAGACAGTGGCTGCTTGCCAACAGCCCTGTCAAACGCAGAAATACTCCATGTGTTTGTAGATCACGTGATACCAATGTAGTGACCGTATTAATTGCTTGCCCATGGTCACTTGATATCGATTATCGACCCTGCATTCTGATTCGCTCCAGGGCTGCATGTCTATAATAATAAATACTCACACACAGACCAGTAAGTCAGTGACTTCTTAGTCTGGTCTGATATTTTTGCGCAGTAGTGGAAGTTTTTTCTTTTGACCTCGTATTCCG